GAAAGTGACTTTGAAAAAAGAATTTTTTTATATTATCAATATCGGATTAACAGAGAAGAAAATGTCATTGATTTTCTTAATATTTCACTGTTTATTTACATAATTCTGTGAATATTGTTCAGATGTGATGAGACATCAAACCTTAATAAAAGCAGCTATACTTCCTTCTTTTTTAATTAAATATTGATTATCAGCAAGCTTCTTTATTGATTAGCTTTTATTCTTTATTTTGCAGTTCTATGATGGACAACATATTTGCATCAGGAATCATTTTCTAACCACGGTTTTTTTTTTCTGTGGTTTGAAATTAGAATATTTCTTCTCCCAGATGTGTTTATAAACCTCTTAATATTTAGGTTATTCCTTCAAAGATATTTCATGCTAGTACATGATTCCATTATTGAATGAAACAAATTATAAATTACAGTAGGGTCTTTGAATCTGTGACAATATTTATTAGCACTTCTTTGTACATATTTATTTTAACTTTTCTAGCATACCAACTTGGTCTATATCTGTTGGCTTAAAAGCATTTTAAATTTGATTTTCCCAGTTTGAAATTAACCAAAAACATGTGCAGATATTGAAATACAAGCTCATCCAGGTTTATCTGATGGAAAGAAAATGAAATTATTTTAAAGTTCCTCCAACACATTCATATGATATTTGATAAAATATTAATATTACTTTGAATGTACACCTGTGATTACATTAGAAAATAAGTTCTTATGAGTATAAAATCATTCATACAGGTAAATAATTCTGTTTTACATGCAGAAAATTTGGAGAAAGAATTATCGAAGGTAGTATTTCCTCTTAGTTCCAAAACTTTCATGTAATTTTGGTACTTTCAAAAAATTTCTAGAGTGATAATTTTGCAGCCGTAGTTATTTTTTCTTAGCAAAATGAAATGCTATATATATATATGTGTGTGTTAATTAAAAGGACATTCATTTAGCAGTAAATCATTATCTTCCCCAAAAAAACTTCTTAAAATCAAAAAATATTTTCTGGCTCTAAATAAACTGCAAAGGTTGATAAACCATAAAAATACAAATCAATCAAATCTCATTGGGAACTTCTTGAAGTTTATATTGAAGTTTACCTGAACTATAAACAAATTAACTTCTAGCAATATTTTTTTTAATCAGACATTATTTTTTGGGATACACATTTTTTGTTGTATACTCCCCTTCATTCCGAGGAGGACTTGGCTTTGACACCAAATAAGCAAAATGTTGCATAGTCCCCTTGTTCTGGGGTTGTCTTGACTGATGGGGTCAATTCCATAATTTGTATCTTCTCTCTCTCTTCTTTCTATTCTTGGCTGGGTGAATGCTAGTTGGCTTGATCGGAGGTAAAATGAGAAGTTAAAAGAGATTTTAAACGTATCTATTCTATTAAATATGTCGACGTGTGCATCTTCTAACTAGCAAGTGGGATCACTCTATCATCCACCACTGGGCAGCAAGTTCCATACATGAAAATGATATGTCTAAATTCATTGACATATAAGTTCTTAACTCACTGAAAACACTTTCTAGCGATAACATTCCCACGTTCAGCTCAGCCAATCAAAATTGACATCCTTATTTTGCCTACCATCTAACCTCATAGGTCAGCCTCAAATATCTTTAAATACTAATAAGTAAATTTAATCATAAAATCAACATTGGCTTCAACGATGACTTGCGGATGGTTTCAGAATCTCCTGCAACTTTTGTGGATAGTCTCCTTGTTTAAGTTGGTGAATGATGCCATAATCCTTGCCTTCAGTTCATCTTTGGTATTACAAAGAATTCTTTGGTCTCTCGCTCAACTGCACACCACACATAATAATCAAGGGGGTTGCAGTCTGGGAATTTAGGTGGCCAGATTTAAGGGATGATGTGACCACAGAAATTGTCTGACCGCCTGCGTGGCATGTTGCAGAGTCTTGTTGCCAGACATAGGATCTTCTAGCAGCCACCATTTTATCCAGGACAGCACTACCTCTTTAAGGCACTTGATGTAGGCCCCCATGTTGAGTCTGTGGTCCTGTGGGAAAATGAATGGAAGCATAATGTCACCAACACAAGTGATCACTCCAAACACCATGATGTTTACTGGATATATCATCCAATTCTTTCCAAATCCTCTGCACTGTCCTCAGATTGACAGCCAGACACTCTGAAATGTTCATATTAGAGCTTCCGGTACAAATGCCATGCAGTAAAGCATGCCGTATCCAAATTTCTGGAAGAGTAAATTGTGTCATGGTGCTCTTTTTCTCACAGACAATGCCCAACTGACTCTACTATACTGTTCAGTCAACAGAATCAAAAACAAACAATGCATATACACAAAATTAAAAATATAAAATGGCAACAATTTACCTATCACATTTACCTATCCTGTACATGGAAATCTGTATACAGATATTCATACATACTATTTATATATACCTGTATATACCCATATATGTATATGCGCACCTTCATATATATATGTAGGTATATATGTGGATGCAAAAAATAATAAAATATCCTTGAATTAAAATCCTACAATACAAAACAGCTCTAATACAAGGACAGATAAAGCAAGAAAGCACAGAGACATACAAACTCTCTTCAAGTCTAAGGCCAGGAAGTGATAATCTACAGTAATTAATGGGATTTATGACACCAGCTTATTCTCATAGATCCCAAGACACTCTCCTAACACATAGTTTTGTATTTCTTTTATTGAAACTGATGACGCCAAAGAGAACATAATCTTTTTCTGGCGAAACGTGTCTTTGATATAAATTTTCCACTTTGTCTCATCTTCATATATATATATATATATATATATATGGTGGTTTCAAATTTTATTTCACATTTGATGCATCTCTGTCCATATCCTTCTTCTGAATTTATCCTTTTAACTGTCATTTGTTCATCTGTCAAGCCAGTAGTTTGTTATGAATAGCTTTTCCAGTTGTGATGTTGAGATTGTACTGTCAACTTGAAGATTTCTCCGTCTGTGCTTTATCAAGTGAAATGGTTTGACAAATTCCTCTTGCCTCTTACAAATAAATTTTGGAGATGTAACAATGAAGCAATTCTTGAAAATACCAGTCTTGAGGATAAAATGCAACAACATTGTTTTTGTTTTAATCAATAAACTAAAAGTAAAATTAAAAACATAACAAAAAAAGTATCAGATCAATATTAATTTGTTAAATCAATCCACAAATGGTTGTTCAAAATTGAATCTGGCACGTGCCTGTAAATCTTTTCTAAAGAAACACCTCAGAGAGCAGCAGTCAAATAAATTAAGACAAGTTACAACTGACAGGAAGTTTTCGTCTTGGGGTTGGAGAGAAAATTTCTTTCAGTGAACACTTTCTTTGCGGCAAAGTGTTATTTACATGTTCTTTTAGTTTGTTCTTTTGATTAGATACAAAACGAAACATAAAGACTTCACAGTGAGTAAATTGTTTATCAGCAAAACTGCATATTTTTACTGATCATAATGTACAAGCATGTATTAAATAAGCACATATATGATATCAATATTCATCTTTATACATTCTCATATATATACACTACAGTTCAAAATTTTGAGAAAACTCCTGGTAATTTTTTGAAATTGGCCTTAAAGTAGTTATTTTGTACTTTAAATAAGAGAAAATTATTATACATGGTTAAAAAAACTGTGTGACAAGATATTTTATTAGAAATTTTATTATGACTAAAGAAAAAAGCATTTTATGATTAAATATTGCTCTCATCAAAATAACCTCCTTTAGCCATGATTACTGCAGCACAAATTTTTAGCATTTGTTGCAAAAGTTTATCAAAGTATAAGTTTGATAATTGATTCCATTCTTTTTGCAATGATTCTCAGAGATTTTTTACTTTTTTTCATTCCATGTTAATTCTACGGGTGGCTATGAACTTTTGAACTGTAATGTTTATATATATATATATAATAAATCAAGAAAAAATCTCGTTTATTATAATATGCTGTAATTTAAATTTACATTGAGCTCTCCCTACCAGTCACAAATTGGTATTATATATATATATGAAAGGGCTGTGGTGAAATAATTTATTACATGGAACCTTAAATTGGTCTGTTTTTTATTTAAACATATTTGCTCTGAAACCAGAGCCCTTTGAAAGGGCTGTGGTGAAATAATTTATTACATGGAACCTTAAAGTGGTCTGTTTTTTATTCAAACATATTTGCTCTGAATTTACATTGAGCTCTCCGGATATCATCCTCCTTGGGTCTACCCATACAGATTACCTAGTTTTGCATAAACTATAAATATATATATATATATATATATATATATATATAATTTTCTTAGATAAATAAATACACATAGATGTCGAGGAATTATCAGCAAAATGCATATTTTTACTGATCATGATGTACAAGCCTGATGGAAATAAACACATGTTAATATTAATCTCTACACATTCCCATATTAGTTAATTCCTCTCATATCCTCTGGAACATTGGGCTCCTTTTGACACTGCATCTAGACAAAAGCTGACCAAGCTTAGCAGATGTCGTATTCATTTTAACTGGCAAATACTAGGAGTTTCAGTGGGAATTTCAATTCACAAGTGGTCTCCAGCTGCATGTATTCACACATTTAGGATAGTGTGATCCAGTTTCATTTCATAATTTCTATCTCCTAGACTGGTTGCCAATCAAGAACCCAGTTTGTCCTGCTATTTTATCCATAGCTAGGGAGAGAAGAGATGGATTCATACCTGTAATTAACTCAACTGGAAATTTAACTCAGCTCTTTGATTCCTCAATCTGAGCCACTAAGCATTAATCCACCATGACTCTATACATTCTTATATACATGTATATGTGTGTGCATGTTCATATTTAATATTCTCCGATACTAAACTGAACATGTAGATTTCACTGTGAGTTAATTGTTTATCAGCAAAACTGCATAGTTTTACTGTTCAGGATGTACAAGGCTGTTCTGAGTCAACAGATTCTGGCTTACAGCCATATAGCATTGAAACACCAGTTCCCATATGATTACCAAGGTTAAGCAATGTCAAGCCTGGTCAGTACTTAGATGAGTGACTGCTTGGGAACACCATGTGAAGATGGCAATGGTTCAGAATTGTTAATCAGTGCCCAGTTCCAATTTCATTTCGGTTCATTATATTCACTTACACACAATAGATATATAAATCATTATGATCACCAAAACAATTTCTTACTATCTAAAAATATTTTCTGGTTTTAACTTGCCAAGTTTGATAAGCTGTATAAAACAAATCAGTTGATATACACATTCTTGTATATATATATATATATATATATATATATATATGTGTGTGTGTGTGTAAATATATCAGTTGCTTTGATACTAAATCAAACAAATAGACTTCACTGTGAGTGACTTACCAGCAAAACAGAATAATTTACTGATAATGATATACCAATCTATTGTAAATTGACATTTACAAGATAGTAATATTTATTCCTACACATTCTTTCCTATAACATTGGATTATAAATAAAATCTATTAATTCCTTGGTCATTACTTGGTTTACATTTCAGATACAAAAAATAAATAGTAGCTATGGCTTTAAGAGATCTGAATAAGATAGCTGCATTTCTTAAAGGGCATAATTAGCTTGACTGTGACAGTCTTCTGCAGCAAAGTGGTCAAAAAGCCCATTGTATTTAATGTGGGTTTCCCCTATAAGGGAGGTGCGAGTTCAAACTCTATCAAAAGGCACATTTTCTTCATTAACACTCTCAGATGTACAGGCTTGTTGACATAGATTTAAACTCCTTCAAAACCAAGTGGGATGTCAACTCAAGCATGTTTCCACCAGATATAACATTTAAAATAATAAGAAATACATATTGTGTGTTTTGTCTGTATGTATATGGTACTATGCATGTATTCAGATGCCATAACTAAGTGGATGGGTACATTTTAAGTTTTTAGTTGCTCACTAGCTAAGGATATTTAGGCCGGATTAAGTGTGATAATCCTTACTAAGTAAACAAACACCTGCATATTATATAGAGGATCACTCATAGTTTTAGAGATATTACTAGAATTATCTACTGAAAACAATATATTTACAACTTTTAGCTACTGATAAAACTTTGTGAATTTATTTGTCATCCTGTTTTTCTTTCTTTCTCATCCCCTTTCAATATACACATATATATATGCCAGTGAATGCAGTTTCTTTGCTAAGATTTCATGAATGTACAGTCCAATACAAACTGTTTATTCAATAAAAATAGACCGTCTATTTCAAATATGAAGTATCTATTATAATGATGTTTGAAGTAATGAAAAATGTATTGAAATAAATGTATTAATTCTTTAGAAAATACAGACACACACGCACACATGACAAAATGGAAAAAGTTTTCATCTGATGCAATTTGTCCCTTAAGACTTCATAAAACATCACACAAAATCTTTCTCCAGTTTGTCATACATCTTTCCTTTAAAGCTGGTTTTGATATATAAGCATTTATATATCGTTATCCCATATATATGCTTTTGTGCAACTTGTTTCATGAAGTCCTAAGGGACAAAAAAAATAAAAGGTACTGTTTTGCAACAGCTGCACCTCTATAGATAAGAGGCATGAAAGCAGATAAATTGGCTTCAAGGCCTTCATTTTGAGATGCCGAATGCCACAGTTATGGACACAAAGAAATTATTGACTTTGATAAAAGCTAAATTATTAGGAACAGAAATCTAGGTTAGAGCATTTCCTTAAATGGCTTGCTAATTACTTTACTGAGTTTTGGTGAGTAACTTTTAGCAATGGCAAGAGAAAATAAAACTAACCAATCACTGACAAGAAATTTTAATGCTGAAACTTATTGATGTGAATAGCAGAATTCCTGTCAGTTACAAGTCAACAGAATTGCCACAGTGATACAAAATGGAGATATCTTTATTTAGCATGAAGAAGGAAATGTATTATATCACAGGTCACATTATCATTGCTGCATAACCACAGGTCAGTTAAACTACCTATACTAACCAATGTTCATCCTAGTGAGTGTTTTCAGTGGGTATTTGAGTATTTTCTCCCTTTTTCCTGAATAACTTAGATAGCATGGTATGTATGCATTATTATCTTGAAGAAAGTGTAGTTATTTGATCAATGTTTTGCTAAGAAATACTGAGTTTTATCATTCACTAGCAGTAGAGCCTGGCGTTGCCCGGGGATGTACCAGTAAGAGATAGATCAAGTATGAACCATCATAAAGACTGAAAAATAAAATTGACAAAGATTATTGTTTAAGGTTGACGGACACGCATGTCTTAATTAGTTTTTTTTTTGTTTTTTTTTATGAATTGGTCAAACCCAAACTCAAACAAAAACATTGTTTTCAATCGTTATGAGTCTACTGATTGAATAGAATTTTATTACAAACAACTGTCTTGTAAATGGAATTTTTAAAGCATTCTGAATGTAAAAATAAAGAAAAAAGTGTACAAGACAATAAGAAACACTACCTGCCAAAAAAAATGTGAAGTTTTGTTGAAATCAGTTGAAAAATGTAGGAAATCCGATCCCATATATAAACGAACACACACACACACAAACAACCTGGGTTTTATAATAAGTATAACTCGATATGAGTTGTCCCCCTTTCATTCTCGTAATGCCTCTTAATCGTGTTTTTAAATTGATTTCATGCAAAAACAATTGCATTTTTCCAATTTTTTGGTGCTGTCAGAACCATCGCAAGGTAATTTTATGTAGTCCTGTGAAGTTTTGTTGAAATCGGTTGAAAAATATAGGAAATCCGATCCAATATATAAACGTACAGACACACACATACACACACACACAATTTGGGTTTTATAATAAGTATGATGCAAAAACTTCTTTGATGTGTACTATCTCAACATTGTTAAAGACTAAATACCCACCTTCATGGTAAGTTTTTGATATTAATAGTGACAGCTTTCACTGAGTGTGTGCACCCTGCCACAGTGTTTGAATTATAAAGGAAAGGTTTTAGGAAGATTAATATTTTACTCACCTTGAAAACTTAGCAAATGTCTTTAACTTTGCATTGTCAAAGGTTCATTACATAACTAAAAGCAGTTTAAGGATATTCTTTCACTATTCTCACACTAGATCTCAGAAGAAATCTTTAGAGTATAATCTGTATATGATTGGCTAAAAAAAAGTTTTTTTCAGTTATATAGATGACTAGCATTTTTTCAGGGAGATGGTTGTAATGTTTTAACACATCATTTATATATATATATACTCTCACACAGACATATGTGGAACTGAACCTCAAGACACAAACTACTTTTTATCTTGTGACCTTTCAGATTCAGTGGGTTTACTGAAAGGCCACATCTATTTCTGTGCATGTTTCAGAAAAGATAAAGATTCAAAGTAAGACAGCTGTCCTTTGATTTACCTTCAAGAGAGCTTTGGAAGTCCGTTTCCTAAATATGTTGTCTATGGAACTGCTGCTGCCAAATATGCTTATATTCTCTTGCTTCGAAATATTACTTTTTCTTTTCCACCATTCCTACACGTTGTTTATTGAAAGATTTGACAAAAAAAGTGTCTTACCCATATATATATATATATATATATATATATATATGTGTGTGTGTGTGTGCACACTCCAATATAAGTCATCCTTACAGAAGCAATGCAACTGCCTGAATAAATAAAACCTACTAAGCAACTTTTATCTCTAACTTCGATAGACAATCATTAAAAAAATATAAGGGAATATGTAAGAAGAAATACATTAAGTAAAAAAGTTTTCTGTGATGTTCCATTTCTTTTGACTAGAACCTCAAGTAACTTAGGATAGCATCAGAACAAAACAAATGCACTTCACAGTCTGTCGTATAACTGCAAATCCTACCAATTCTGTTCTTGGACTGATGTGATTGTATGGCTTATACTGCAAGTCAAGAATTGCATGCACTTGTCATGGAAAAGCAGCTTAACATGGACCAGTGGAATTTGGCACACTGGAATTAAACAGGTACTTTTATATAGTGTTGTGGTATTTGTGTCTTTTGATGCAGGCTGTGTGCCAGCAATAGAAAGATGTCAGATTTAACCAGCTTATATGAGCTCAGAAGTCTAAATGACTTTGAAATATGCCCAGTGACACCATTCTTGCAGTCTTTGTCCTTAAGGATTTTTTTCTCTTTTATTAGTTTTCAAGAAATTTAAGCTCTTAAATTGTTTTTTTTTCCTAATAAAAGAACCAGAATTTTTTTTTTTTTGATGTGGGGATATTCTATTATCACCAGTTTAATTCCAGTGCCTTTGTTAATTGGTGCTTTGTCTAATGGGATTTTATTTCTCATTGAGAGACCAAGGGAATTATAACAAAAAAATCAAAAAATCAAATCCAAAAATTGATTTCATACTGTCTTTAAGGATTTGCAATGATTCTTCCATAGAACTGTTTATGTTAATAAATTTAATGTTTTATTTATAATTTACTTATTAAATTCTTTTTGTTCTTTTATTGTATAAAAATATAAGTTATTAACGGTTAATAAATCTCAAATATTTTACCATGAAACTTTTGGAAATGTTTACATTAGTATTTGTTTTATTTTTATTTTGTGAATGTAAACTAAGTTTATTATTATTATTACAAAAGAAAATGGTTAACACAAGTTTTGTCTAGAGAATTTAAAATTTTATTGTTTTTTTTAACTCAGATATAAACTGCATTAACTTAAAGTATTTTCAGATCAACAGCATGAGGAAATTTTTCATGAGGGTATCATACAAAACAATACAGTTCCTGAAAGATGTACTCAAAAATATAAAAATAGCAATAGATCTCAACTCTCTTTTAAAGATATCTTTATATATTTTATATACTTTAAAATAACTCAAAACTATCATAACACAAGTACCATTAGATGTATGGTATATAGAGATGAATGTTGGGCTAATACATAAGTAACAGTCAAATTTACTGTCTATAGTACCATTTTATTATTGACTCGATGTGGTTACAGTGGGTAAGTGGGTGACTATCATCTTAGTCCTTTTGTGATTTGAGAGTTCATACAGGGTCATTTTGCTTTTTGTTAACAGAAAT